ATTCACCTACCCAATACTTATCTCGACGAATAGAATAGATAATCATCTTATGATTTAGAGATACATCACATTGAATATTTGAAATTTATATTTATAGGGTGATCATTTTTATACTATGTGATATATATAGAGTGAAAGCATTACTCCTCATTACTATTAATTTTTTCTATAATGAGTGATATATATATTTAGCGTTTCAAAATTTATAATATTTTAAATATATTTCAATTTTTTGCTCAAATTTTTTGAGCCGAGTCGGATATCAGGAAAAATATGCCATCTTTTTAGGAAGAAGTTTAAACGAGACTTTTTCAAAATTTGAAAAAATCGTTTCAAAAAATATTTCTTATTAATATACTCTCCTTTGTATTTTTTTTGGAAAATTCAATATCGTTTTTGTGTTTTATGAAATTTCTATTTCTATTTCTATTTTTATTTCTATTCTCCTTAAACTTTCTTTGGTTCTCTGCTATGGATATGGTGTATATTTTTTCGAGTGGTTATGGGTAGACCATCGTTAGCTAGTATGGGGTCGACAATTTCTTTCTAGAAAGATGAAAATTGAATTCACCTACCCAATACTTATCTTGACGAATAGAATAGATAATCATCTTATGATTTAGAGATATATCACATTGAATATTTGAAATTTATATTTATAGGGTGATCATTTTTATACTAAGTGATATATATTGAATGAAAGCATTACTCCTCACTACTATTAAATTTTTCTATATTTGGTGATGTATATATTTAGAGTTTTAAAATTTCTAATATTTAAATATATCCTATTTTTTTACTCTCATTTTTTTTAACGCGATCTCTTTACAAGAAGTATTTTTACCGATCTATATTTTGTTTCCGATTTTTTTACTCGACTTCTTAAAACAAAAACTGATTAATTTTCGATTTCATGGTGAGCCGATTTATTGATAATCCCTATGCCCTTGACAAGGATTATGTTTGCTATGAATTCGCGTGACGCATGTTCGCCCGAGTTTGCGAGGGATTTAGGACGTCTGCCTAAGCGAAACCGTGGGTGAAAAGTAAGTCAGCCAAGTGTGAATTGAAATTTTGAAATGCCGAAAGCAATATTTTATATCTCCTGAATATTGTAATTCTTTTGGAGTGTACACTATGCTCCTTCGAGAGCATTTGGGACATCAACTCTCCCACTCAGAAATACTTATTTGGGAGATTTTTTTTTTTTTTCAGTCTGAAAATTAAAGAACCACCTAAAAATAACTAGATGATTTTTTTGGAAAGGAATAATTCAAAATTTGGTTTCTTTAATACATAGATCTCACCCTTCAAAATTTATAGACCTTCGTTCAATCTTCTAGCATTACATTTTTTTAGTACACATCAATTTAAATTTGGAAATTTTTTTAGTGCTCGGTTAGTCTATCATTTGAAGAGGTTACATCCCCACACTATTTGTAATCTTAAAATTACTCCCTCCCATAATAGATTTTACTTATGTGAGTAAATAGTCGGTGTACTCCTGCAGGAACATAAAATCTTTTAGCTTTTTTAATTCTGGAAAAAGTTTTTCATGTGGGGCTAGACGCATGTCCAAAATATTTTTTTTTCTTTTTTAGAAAAAGTGTATGGTGCAAGTAGTTAAAAAGGATGGAAACTGCCAGTCCAAATGTTCTTTTTACTATAATTATTATTTTTAATTTTTAAAATTTATTTATTTTTTATATTTTTGATCTTTATGTCACAGATTACATTTCTTTAAAAATTAAGTTTAAAAATGCATCTTAAAAATAAATTTATTAATAGGTGGGTATTTTTTAGATTTATTAATAGGTGGGCATTGGCTTGTCCGAAAAAAAAATCGGGTGCTTTGATCCTCGTGAAACTTGCTTTTGTACGAACACGCAAAGGTCGGGCGTACAGTCTGCACCACATTGTATTAAACGACACGTGTACTGTAATAATATAATAAGAGAGAAAACCGGTTTTCAGAAAGGCTAAAATAAAAGGGAAACCGAGTTCACCGGTACTGATACCTGCAGGTCAAAAGGCGTATCTACCACCCACGTGACTCATGAGGCATCTGGTCCCGCCGAAAAATGGTTTTTCTCTTTCGGTGGATTTCGGCCGAGATCACGGTGTAATAGACCCCGAATTCAGGTTTTATTCGAGGGAACCGAAATATGATGTTCAAATCCCGTCATAACGAGCTTTAACGTCCCTTCCATTAAATGAAAAGGAATAAGAAAAATTTACCCTAAAATTTAAATTTATCGATTAGAAATTTTAATGGTTATGTGGCCTATTTACACATGCACCTCCAAAATCTATTGGAAAAGGTTGATTTAATGTTGAAAAAAACCACTAATTGATCATCTCGACATTAAGATGTATGAATATGAATATGAAAAAAAAGAAGATTTTGAGCCAAAGAATAGTATATCTTGCAATACTTTATCTAGACCATCTATTTTCAAGATTTTCATATATTTATAGATCTACTTGATTTTAACCAATTTTGAAGTTTAAACTTTTATAATTAAATATAAAAATAGATTTTGAGATAATCCTAAGCATGTTTTTCACTCAAATTACATGTTATGATAAAATTTGGAGGTGCACCTTGATTAGATTGTTTAAGGTTGCAATCTTATACAAACCACACTCTTTAATAAATGAGATTGTATACAATGAGACCATTTACATTTGATACAAGGTAAGTCATAATTAATTACAACCATCTGATGTGAAATTTGATAGCTTGGATGTATCACAAAGTTCAAGAAATTTTTTTTTGAAGTTTGAGCTTGATCAATGGAATAATTGCAGCCACCCAATTTTACATCTAATGTTCAAGATTAATGTGACAACCTTGTACTAAAAGTAAATGGTCTCATTCCATATTTTTCCTTAACAAATAACAGATAACTAGATAACTTTAAATGTATTTTACTTTGAAATATAAAAACAAGGAAGGCCTACCCCATGAGGTAAGAAAATGGCTGGTAATATAACAAATGTGATGTTTATTTTTCTTTGTTTTTTGATAGGAATGTGATGCTTGTATTTTCTACTCTGTCTACTTTTATCAAAAATAATAAAGGGCATCTTGGAATAGGGAGAATCGACGTGATATTTTGGACCTCTCCCTTGAGATTTTGTAAAGTCCCAATCTAGTCCAAGCGATTTCCGAATTATACGAACAAGTTTAAGGGAATTTACACACATAACTGGTCTTTCACATTTCGTATCAGTTATAGATGCATATTGTGACCGAGTGAAGCACCGTGATAATTTTATTTTCCATGTTTTGTTGAATGAATGCCCAAGAAATTCTAATAACATTATAAGCACTACGAGAACCACTGTAATCCAATGGGCACAACCACACCCTGACTTTAAAAACATCCCCAATGAATTCTTTTGCTAGAATTTTCATGAGATATTACTTGCCAAAAGATGCAAAAACATCAGGGCCTTTTACATGAATGATGACTCCCTTGCTAAAGCTTGATTTTAATGAAAGTGTTAGGAATGGAGTACCGGTGGCTAAATATGAGGAGAATTTGTGTTCCAACTTTTCCCTATTTTTACCGTTCTCAAACAGGTAAAAACTACAATAACAATGAAAGTCAGGCACTTTCACCGCTTCAGGCGGTTATCAAACGGCACCTAAGAGATAACCAAGATAACATCCCTTTGGACTTACAAAGGGCAGATGCACCTCTTTGATATCAACGAGGCAGAACTATGAACTATGGGCCCATAAGCAACTTACTCTTGAATACAACCCTGTGGTAGTGGAAGGAGAGGTGATGTTATAAGCTGGTGTCATCTCCTAGCATTATTTTACGCTTTGGGCATCTATTATGGACAAAATTATATTTTGCTTAACCGGAAGATTAAGTAATATTCTTTCATGTCAACAAAGAGAGGAACAATGATGTCAGATCTCTAGCTAAGAAGGTAACACAGATGGTGCAAGAATGTTCTGTACTCTTATGCTCCATCCTTTGCTCTCCATCTTGATTTCTTTCTAGTGCTTTTTGTTGGTATTTGAAAAATCGAACGAGTCAGCTCAGACTCAGCGGAGTTACTCAGGTTCGGGCTTAGGCGGTGTCCGAGCTCGAGTAAGGGGTCCAACTCGAAGTCTTAAAATTATCTTCGTCAAAGCCTTTTTTTCAACTAATTGGGGTCACTTTCGGGGATCATAAAATAATCATATAATATTTGAAAATAGAAGAGATCTATTTGTAACATGTTTATTTATGTGTTCTATTGCTTTGACAAGGATTGGAAAGTATTTTGACTATGAATATTTATTTTTTTAATTTTCACATTTTTTTGATTATTTTAAAAATACCCCGTCACAAACTTATTTTTCAAAATCTATTTTTATGCTACTTTTTAAACCTCATTTAGATGCATTTTATTTTATCTTACTTTAAATAAAAAAATAAATATATATATAATTTTTTTAATTTTTTTAGTTTCAATTTTTTAACATTTTTTTTGGCTGCTAAGGTACTCGAGCCGAGTTACTTCATCTCGAGACGTATAATCGGCTCGGGCATGGCCGAGTACTCGGCCTTGTGCTTTCCTCTTATTTTTCTTTTGTGACTGTATTGCTTTCATTTTCTCGGTGATAAACTTATCGACACCCAGAAAAAAGAAGAAGAAAAAAGAGATGGCTGATCCGGCCGGATTTCAGTGAAATAAACTTCAGACGAAATTTCGGCGAAATAGTGACCCGCCTCTAATTGGTTTGAAACCCTCACTATGAGACTGACACGTGCCCGTATTCATAGATGTAACAGCTCGGCGCGGAGTTTAAAAATTAGTGACGAGTACCGCGCTTTCGACTTTCTCGTGCTTCTCGTGGTCAAAAACCATTTGAAAAATTACGAATATTAAGCAATCACTAAAATCGCCGATCGTTTTATTAAAATAATGGCGAGAAACAAAAAGCTCGCCGATTCTCATCCAATTAATCGGGCGTTGGGGATCTGAAAAAGCAATTGGGATCCCATGGAAAGGTCACAAGCAGAGAGAGACAAAGCCCGAAACAAATAAAGCGACGAAGCTTCAGAAACCACCAAAGTTTTGGTCCCGATCCGTAATTCAGAGCACCCAAGGTTGTGGTTCTGATTCATGATTTAGAAATCCGTTCATAGTTCAAGCTTTGCAAGCAAATCAGGAAAAAAAAGGTCGGCTAATTAGGAGGAAAAGGTTGCCGGAAATTGAGGATTCCGGCCAAATTGGTAGTTTTCCGGAAAAAAGTGCAGAAATCTGGTTGATTCGTTGCAGATAAACTGAGATTCAGCGAGATTCCGGCGATTCGGAGGGGATTTAGGCCAGAAGAACGGCAATCTAACCGTCTCTTTGAAAAATAGGGAGACGAAGGAAGAAGAAACTTGGTTTTTCCAAAGGCAACAAGCCCACCAATTCACTCTGATACAAAAATAGCCATCAATTTTGGTGCTTTTACCAGGTTCGAATCTCTGAAACCCTTCCCTTTTCTTGAATTTTGGTTTCGCTTTATTGCAAAATTAGGGTTTGAGGCCTCTATCGTTGTCGTAAATTCTCTGAAAATCTTATATGAAAGAAGGGCCCCAAAAAGTACAAGCTTTCCAGTTTAGGATTTAGAATATTCAAATTTTATTTTAGCTCCCGATTTTCTGAAACAACTTTAGAGGTTTTAAATCCAGGTCTGCAAGGATTCCTGAAAACAGTAGAGATGCCACCCTGTAGTAGAATTATCTCGTAATATTAGGTTATATCTGCAACAAGGGAAACCATGAATTCCCTTTTCTCTCTCACTAGATTGGGAACAATAAATCTGTCTCTCTAAATTGCTGTAACTGCAGAAACAATAAATCTCCCTCCTCTCTCTCTCTGAAACCAATAAAATCTGTTTCTCGGTTGAACAGAAAAGAGGTTTCACCCCGTTCGATGGCCCTGAGCCGGAAACAACCATCATCATTCTCTCTCTCTCTACATATTTCAATTCCTGTAACGGAAGACACCGTACAATCGGTTGTGGGCAATGGCTGAACCCAAAAATAGGCCGCCAGCTCATCCAAAAAGACGAGCCAGCAATCTCCCCCTCTCTCATTGGTCCTTTCCAAATATAATCCCACCTCACCCCTAAAGAAAGATGTCGTCACCACCTGTTTCAAAGAAAGAAATAAATTCCAAATTCGAATCTCACCTCTCTTACTCTCTCTAAAATTAGGACGCCACCTCTCTCTCTAGAAATAGAAACGAGGTACCGCACAGAACGCCACCTCTCTCGTCCCTCACAGAGGACCGCTCGGGGGGGTCCTCACTCTCTCATCACATACAGAGGGCCCCAAAAACTCTCTCTCTCTCTCACTCAGCACAAGAACACTATAAAGGTCATGAATTCTATTTTTTCAGGAGCCTCGCTCCAAAACAAAGCAAACCCGCCAACTCTCTGTCTCTAAAACCAAATAATGGAGACTAATACCGCCACCACCAAGAGAGAGGAAGACTCTCCCTCATCATCCCTAGAGAGAGAAAGAGAAGACTCGACCACGAATTCCAGTACATCCGATGAGGGCCTCCTCATGGGCCGCTACGAGATGGGCAAGCTCCTGGGGTGCGGCGCCTTCGGCAAAGTGTACCATGCCCGCGATGCCCGCACCGGCCAGAGCGTCGCCATTAAAGCTCTGTCGAAGCGCAAACTCATCCGCGGTGGCCTGGCCGCCCAAACCAAGCGCGAAGTCCTCATCATGCGCCGCCTCCGCCACCACAACATCGTGCGGCTCTACGAGGTCCTCGCCACACGTACCAAGATCTTCTTTGTCATGGAGTACGCCAAGGGAGGCGAGCTCTTTACCCGGGTGGCCAAGGGCCGGCTCAGAGAAGATCCTGCCCGTTCATACTTCCAGCAACTGATCTCAGCCGTCGGGTACTGCCATCAGAGGGGAGTCTTCCACCGGGACCTGAAGCCGGAAAACCTGCTTCTTGATGAAAACGGTAACCTGAAAGTTTCGGATTTTGGCCTCTCTGCCATTTCTGATCAAATTCGCAGCGACGGGCTGTTGCACACGCTGTGTGGGACTCCCGCCTATGTTGCACCTGAGATTTTGGCGAAAAAAGGATACGACGGCCGGAAAATTGATATCTGGTCGTGCGGCATCATATTATACGTTTTAACGGCTGGTTATCTCCCGTTTAACGACCCTAATCTCATGGTTATGTACAAGAAGATTTACAAGGGAGATTTTCGTTGCCCTAGATGGATGTCTCCTGATCTTCGACGAATTCTTGGTCGCTTATTAGACACTAATCCAGAAACTAGAATTACAGTTTCTGAGATTATGAATGATCCATGGTTTAGTAGGGGGTTTAAGGGGCCGGTTTCTTTGCCGGATAAGGAGTTTTTCAGTGGCCTTAAGGGCGATTCAGAGAAGAGTCCGCTGAGTTTAAACGCATTTGATATCATATCGTTTTCGTCTGGTTTTGATCTGAGGGGCCTCTTCGAGGAGGACACTGGTGGGTGGTGGAGAGTGGCCTCCGAGGAGGACGCGGAGAAGGTATTGGAGAGGGTCAAAAAAGTTGCAGAGGTGGTCAGATTTGAGGTGAGAAAGAAGGGTTTTGCTCTCTTTTTGGAGGGAGAAAATGGGGTCGAAATTGGGGTCGAGATTTTCAGGTTAACTGACAATATGGTGGTGGTTGAGGTGAGTAGAATGGGTGGCGACGGCTGGAAATACGAGGAGTTTTGCCGGAAAAGATTAAAACCGGCATTGGTTGACGGCCCGCAGAATGAGGAGGTGGCTGCTGCTTCACCGGAACATGCTGATGTGGGCGCCGGGCACTCAACCATGGATCAAGTGCCCGGTAGTTAGTCGGTTTCGATGGACGGTCGGGATTGGACGCTGTAGAGATCCTGGCCGTTGATTAAAGTTGGGTTTTTGTTTTTGATTTTTATATTATTTAGCCATTAAGACGTAAAAAAAAAAGAACTCTTGTATTTAAAATACACGCTTATATGGTGTATATATTTGTATGGTAATACAGGTGGATGTAAGAATGTGACAATAAAGGGACCAAATCGGGTGGCTGGCCAGGATTTTGTTTTATTATTTTCTGGTCATTTCCTTAAAACTAAATCAAGGATTTGGGGATTGTGTTTATTTTTTTTTGTTTAAGTTTTTCATGCTGTGTTTTTTTAAAACCTTTTTCTTCTGGACTCTTTTGTCGCGTTTCAGCAAAATTTGGTGGGTCTGTGGAGATTTAATAAGGGGTTGGATGAAAATGAGTTAAAAAATTGGGGCACAGAGGCTTTGAAATGGGGCCAATGCTGGGGCAAAATTTTGCAATAAATAATGGTTGGATGCAGCAAAGGAAGGAGGGTTTGGAAATGGTTAATTTATTGGCATCAAATTGTCTTAGATTATGGAAAACCAGCTGGAATTCAGAGGATTAAGTGTGGCTTAGATTGTTGGAGCCTATTTAGAATTTGATAGGATTCCACTCTCTCTCATCCTCCCTCGTCTTAAGATATAAACAAGATTGCGGCACATCAGCCGGTCTAAACTCTATGGTATGTGGTATTAGGCCGTTTATTGTAAAGCAAATATTGAGTTTTAATGGACCTTTAAAGTTGAGGGAAAGGTTTTTATACTTCCTCTTCTATGCTTCCCTTATCATCTACGTGTCCAATTTTGATCAAGAGAGTCGTTCACCGTTTGATCCGACGTTTCAAAGTATTTTATTCTCAAAGTATTTTATTTTTAGCTTTTCTATACAAACTGTATGAATATGAAATTTGGTACGTGTCATCTTCGCACTTATAAAAAATATTAAAAATAAATTTTTAATAAAATATAATGATCAAAATATCCTTTTGAAGCTTTTTTGGGTATTTTAGTCATTTATTTTATTGAAAATATTTTATTCTTATTTTTCAGTAGTACGAGTTTAATAGAAGATTGGATGTCCAAAATTTGGTGTCAAAATAGTTTATAGGAAAAAACATTACAAATAAAATAGTATAACGTCATGACATTGTGATTGGAGCATCTTAACCCTCCATTTAAAATGGACGGTTGGAAAGCTTGCCCCATATATTTAGAGTTTTAAAATTTTTAATATTTTAAATATATCCAATTTTTTTACTCCGATCTTTTTAGCTTAGTCAGATATATTTGCGATCTCTCTACATGAAATATTTTTGCCGATCCATATTATTTATTTGACTGTTTAAAATAAAAACGATTAGTTTTCGATTTCATGGTGAACCGATTTATTGATAATCGCTGACTTGCTTAACTATCGTTCGAACCCATGACTTGCAAAAGAAAATAATGTGGCATGCATGGGCGCCTCTATGTCAATAAATTACAATATGTAATGTCTGAAACATAGTATCGTAATGAATTTATTAACAACTATTTTGAAGAGGAAATTAATTGATTTTGGTCTTTAAGTGCACAAAACCTAGTTTATTGCACACGCACTCCCCCCCTCTCTGTAGAACATACAAAATCCTCTCTCTCTCTAGACCCCTAATCTTCTTTCGATGCACACACGTGATGTATAATAATATTGATAGCTCAATCTTATCTTACATACAAATCAATCATGCATCCCTTTCTTGGACATCATTATCAAAACGTTAACTTACTTTTATTGTCTACTTTTTTTAAGTTAACTAAAAGGGTGTGGATTCAATAAGGTGGTAACTTTAACCGATGCACACCTTCAAATTTTATCATAATATGTAAAATTAGTGTAAATTTTTTTTGGGATTATTTCAAAATATCTTTTTATATCTAATTATAAAATTTTAAACTTAAACAATAGTTAAAATCAAGTAGATCTATAAACATATTAAAATATTGAAAACGGATGGTCCAGATAATGTGTTGCAAGATGCACCTATTTATGTGACTCAAATTTTTTTTGTTTTTCTTATTCATACATCTCGATGTAGAGAAGATCAATTAGAAGGTATTCCAACATTAAAACTATTGGTACGTATGGGTGGCCATGGGCCCCTCATACTTGCTATTTTTCTCCCTTTAATCTTTATCATAAATATTATGTTTATCACTAAATAAGGGTTATTCTTGAAGAGAGAAAGTGTCGTTATCTAACAGGCAGAAAATAGCAACTCACATCCTAAGATTCAGGGCCACCTTTTTCAAAATTTTAAGGAGAAAACTGAACGTTGAGAACGGCCTCCTCTATCCTTTATAACTAGGCCTTTTATGGCCATGGAGATGCAACACATATATAGTTCTCATTGTTCTGGGAAACCTTTCACCTATAATCCTCAGTCTTACGATGCTGCCAGTAATCCTGGGAGAGGGTTCCATATCTTCCCTAATAATTCAACATTGGTATAAGATCATGTTGTTGTCAAGTGTACTGCTCCAAATTGTGCGTTCTCAATTTCATGCTACAGTCATCTGAATCGTGAGTTATGCTTGAGCCGTGAGTCATACTCGTTATTTATTAATTGTTACTGTACTATCAATTATTTTTTCCTCTCATTGCCTACGGAAAATGGACTATAACAAAATAATATAGCTGAAAAGAGAAATAGAACGTTAATGGATATGGTTAGGTTCATAATGAGCCATTCAAATTTATCACCTCATTTTTTGGGTGAGGCTCTCAACACTACAATGTATATTATTAATCGTGTCCCAACTAAATCTCTAGACTTGACTCCATATGAATTATGGACATGTAGGAAACCTGACTTTGCTATATTGAAACTTTGGGGTTCTTAGACATATGTGCTTATACCACTACAAAATATAGATAAATTACAAAGTAAAACTATAAAATGCTCTTTTGTAGGCTATTTAGAAAATTTTAGGGGGTATAGATTCTATAACCATGATACTAGATCATTAGTAGAGAGTCGTGATGCTCATTTTTTTTAAAACATAGATGATGACAATATTTTAAATAAGCCTGTTGACTTATATGAAATTGATAAAGATAAGGGTCTGGAAGACCTTGTTTCTCAAACTCCCTCTACATTTAGTGAGAATGACTCAATTAAATCAAGTATACCAGACATGCCTAAAAGAACTAGAGCCCCACCTACGACTTTAGAAGAATTTTATACATTTATGAATGAATACAATTATTCTTCAATGAGTGATGATACAATAGATGAACCTTGAAGCCATAGTGAAGCTATTAGCTTAGATGACTCAGTTGAGTGGACTCAAGTCATGAATGATAAATTTGATTCTATTAAAAGAAATCAAGTTTGAAAGTTGGTTGACCTCCCTAAAGATAGAAAAGCCATCGGTTGCAAATAGGTCTTAAAGAAAAAGCTTAATACTAATGAATCCATTGACAAATATAAAGCTAAGTTGGTAGCTGAAAGATTTTCCCAAAGGGAGGGTATAGATTATGTAGAGACTTATTCTCCAGTAATAAAATTTTCATCTATTAGGATCATCCTAGCATTAGTTGCATATTATGATATATATAACTATTTCAGATGGATGTCAAAGCGGCTTTTTTTAAATGGAGAATTACAAGAAGATATATACGTGAAACAACCAGAAGGATATTTTATTAAAGACCAAGAAGGCAAAGTATACAAGCTTAAGAAATCTTTATATGGTCTAAAACAATCTTTTAGGCAATGGTACTTTACTTTTCATAATGCATTCACTGAATTTGGTTATGTAGCCAATAGGTTAGACATTGTGTATATGTCTGGAATAGTGGGAACAATTTTATTATATTATCACTGTTTGTAGATGATATTTTGATAGCCGATAATGATATTGGCATGATTAACCATACGAAATCATGGCTAAGTTCTCATTTTGAAATGAAAGATATGAGAGAAGCCTCATATGTATTAGGCATTAAAATAATAAGAGATAGAAGTTCAAAACTTCTATGTTTATCTCAAACAAATTATTTAAAAAGTATTTTAAAAAGATTTAAGATGAAAAATTGTAAGCCCATAGATACACTATTTTGTAAAGGCTTAAAATTTGTCAAAGAAAATTTGTCAAAGAAAATATGTCGATTAAATGATAGTAAGAAAGCTGAAATAAAAAGAATTTCATATGCTCAAGTTGTAGGATGCATAAATTATACTATGTTACATGCAAGACTTGATTTGAATCATGCATATGGTCTTGTAAGTAGATATCAGAGTAATACTAGGATGACTCATTGGCAAGTTGTAAAAATGATACTCAGATATATTCATAAAACTAAAAATTACAAGTTGTGCTTTCAATCTGACAACTTAGATGTTACTGGGTACGCAGACTTTGCAAGAGACCCAGACGATAGAAGATCAACCTTATGATCTGTATTCCTCTTTGGAGGTGGATGCGTTTCTTGGTCTAGCAAGAAACAAGGTTGTGTAGCTCAGTATACTATGGAAGCCGAGTATATTGCTTGTAGCATTGCTACAACTTATGATGTCTGAATTAAACGCTTCATAAATGATTTGAAGCTGGATATAGTCAATGGACCTGTTAAATTTTTTTGTCATAACCAGGCTGTTATCTCATTAATTAGAAATGGAGCCTATAGTTCCAAGGGTAAACACATTGAAATTGATTATCATTATATTTATGATATTATTGAAAATAATGAAATAACTATAATTTATTTACCATCTTCATATATGATTGCATATTCTTTAACAAAGGGATTGAGCGCAGAAATATAATCAAAGCATATAGCTTTGATGGGACATGAAAAAATTTAAATCAGGAACTCCCAAATGGGATATTTTTCTTTGACGTATTGGTCATGAGAAGAAAAACCGTATTAAAGTGAAAAACTCATGACACGACTTTAAATATTTTTTGTTATGAGATGTATAACCGCACTAGTGTGAAAAGCCTCATTACAAGGATATACTCATTAAGTAGTATTATATCAATATATCTGACTCTCATGGCCAAGTAGGAGATGTTGGTACGTATGGGTGGCTCTCATACTTACTATTTTTTATCTCTTTCATCTTTATCATAAATATTATGTTTATCACTAAATAAAAGTCCTTCTTAGAGAGAAAAAGTGTCGTTATTTAATGGGCAGAAAATAGTCACCCACATCTTAAGATGACAGAGTCACGTTTTTCAGAGTTTTAAGGAGAAAGCCGAACGTTGGAGAACGGCCTCCTCCATCC